CGAAGAATGCGTCAAACTCATTGAAAAACATGCTAGAAGTTGCAGATCCGAAATAATAGACATTTTCGGCACATTTTAAGCGTTTTGTGAGCGTTCACGATCTTTAACCGACGATTTCTTCCTTATTATTGACCCAAACACTATATAAATGCATGTTTGTGACCTTTTTGCGTCGAAAAGAATCGATTGGGCTCAAAAAACACGCATGTAAAGTTTTGATTTTTGGCGTAAATTTTTCAAAGGGTGGGGGTCGATTTTTTGAAAAAATTAAAATTTTCTCTAAACGTCTTCAAATTTACATCACGTTCAGCGCACGGACGCGAAGAATGCGTCGAACTCATTGAAAACCATGCTAGAAGTTTCAGATCCGAAATAATCGACATTTTCGGCACATTTTAGGCGTTTTGTGAGCGTTCACGATCTTTAATCGACCATTTATTTGCTATTATCGACCCAAACACGGTCGATTTTTTGAGAAAATTAAAATTTTCACACTGAAATCAGTACTCCGTAGACAAGTATTTTGAGCACTTTCGTTCGTGCAGCTTTATAACCTATGTTAAGTGTTCTGGAAAATGCAAAAACATGAACACACAAGTGCCTTAACACACAGTATTACCCAGGCCGACTACCTACAGTGGGGCGCCTCCAACTCCCCGTCCAAATGGCTGCTCCTTTTAGGCCTCCCCCTCTCCCTGTCCTGCTCCAAGCCGCTCCTGCTGCAGTTGTTCACTAGACTGTAGAACCGCAGGACGTTCTGCTCGGGCCGATAGTAGTCATACAGTTTCACCAGACTCCCCTTGCGGTTCTCCACTGGCAGATTTTCGCTGATGTTGATCGTGAAGCACACCGAGCTTCTGCCCAGGCTGGTGAAGTAGATGTTGATCTGGTCGTCTTTTTCCTCAAACATTTTGATATCTTCAGGCCCCCGTTTGGGGCTGGTCAGCTTGTTTTCCTGCTGTGCACTTACTAGCTGCTGTGCCGCCGTCGACTAGTTCGTATAAAGAGGGCCTGTCGGCCTGGAAGCCGGACGGGAGAGCGAGCTCCATTACTGCCATGTTGGAGAGCTGGCCCGGGCCTTGGTAGGATAAGCATGGAGAAATGCTCCTGATGGAGCACTGGTCGATGGTGGAAACTGCGCCCACTTCCACTTCCAGCCTGAAGGCTTCGCTCTCTGATACGCTGCTGCTGAAGTAGGAGCTGGTTAGCTGAAATTCCTGCGGTTAGTTGATGGTTCAGGTTGAAGGCGGAAAAAAGGGGGTTTGAACCTGTGCCAGAGCGCATCCAGTTCCGGTCAAGCTGAGGCCCACGCGCCCTTCGAGGGGGTGCAGAGGAAGTTGTCTGGATGTGAGGCGATCCTGATCAGCAATTTTAAACCCGCGGGATTTATTCAAGGCGGTGACGTGAACGTGCAGGTCCAGGGAATCAGTGCGGGTTTGCTGCGCGTATTTGGTCAGGCCGTCCAGGGCCACGATAGTGTCCTGAAGCAGAACCGCGTGATTTTGGGCCACTTTAGGCGAAAMTTCCCAGAATTATTTTTTTACAAACTTCTTTTTGGGTATTCGCCMSKTATACGTTACCTCGATTATTATYCCACATTAMCCCCATATTATATTCCAGTCGCGCCCCCCACATCCCAACATATCACTCCCCCCAGGTCAATTAACCCTGAAGAGGGWCGCGCATTATTCTGCAGAGGATCGCTTTGTGCCATCGTTGCGGAGCACYGCAACTTTACCCTCAATCCACACGGAATTTTGCGTTTAGCCTTCAGCCGATGTGAATTATCCACTTTGTGGACACCATTTTTACTGTGTACTAACAATAAAGTAAGCTTTGCTTTTGGGGGTTTTCTGGCAAAAACATACAGCGGGAAGTTTCTTTGGTTGGCGGCGCAAAGCCAATTAATAATGATGGAATGATTTTTGCAAAGTCGAATGAAAGCAAGCACAACATGAAGTTGCGAGTTTCCCCGGCTCAGAGGCCCTTTTGAAAAATCAGAAAAAGTTCTGATATTTTAAGCGACGGGGGTATCAACTTCGAACGCAGCCAGGCACTGCCATGGTGCATCGCTCATAGGCTCGCATGGGTGCGAGTGAGAGATCCGACGCGAGCTACGTTCTGAATTGACAATCGGTGCAACTAGCTATTTCAGAGGAATTGCCGATTAGGAACAGTTTTAGTGTAAATTATTGTTATTCTTTTTTTACAAACTTCTTTTTGTGTATTTAGCCTCAAAAATTTTTCTAATTAATTTCTCTACTAATTGGAATTTTCTCTTACAGCTTGAGCCGAAGTGTGTCGCAGAGTACTCTCTAGGTGATAGTTCTTGATAAATAATTCGTTCTTATTGCGAAATAGGAGCACTATTTATCAATCTGTAATAGAAGACGTGAGGAAATTCTGTCTTTTTTAGAGACAAAAATTTTTGAGGCGAAACACCCAAAAAGAAGTTTGTAAAAAAATGAATCCGCCTCAACAATATAGAACTTATCGACTTCCTAGAATTACTTGGGTGGATTTGAAGCCCCCCAGGGGCCCCATTTTGGAGATCAGCCACTGCACGATGGAATGGGCGTAGGCCATGTGCGTAGCACTCTTTTGCTCCAAGCACGCCAACAGAGCGTAGCTGCTCACCTCAATGTCCGAAGCAGAGGAATCGTCAGATTCTGCAAAAACACTGCAGTGAAAATCCTGCTCTGACCGAAAAGTGGCGTAAAACACCTCGCGTGCTCCACCACATGAACTCGTTCTCCTTCCGAGCCACCTCAATGGCCTTTTCCAGAAACCGAGAGGCCTCACTGATCCATTGCACCTTAAAGAGCGCATAGCTGCTAATCACCATGGAGTACCGATCCGGATCGTTCTGGCTGCGGATGCAGTATTTTGCATTCACTTGCACAGCGTCTGGCACATCGACTTTGGCATCAAACAGGCTGAGAATTACGTAGGCGGTGAGGCCGGCAGTGCTGTTCTCCATGTTGGTGCCCCCCTAAGCTCCCCCATGGATAAGCGGGGCTGAAACAGCCGAAACACTCCCTCACTCACCATATCCTGAAACACGTGGTGCATCGTGTCGAAACAGCCGTTCTCCAGCTGGTGCTGGAAGATCCAGCGGACGGCGCGATCCAGAACTGCAGCGTCCACATAGATGAGGCTTTTCGCCTCTTGCAGCACCCGAACCACGAAGGTGGTGAGAAACATCGAGCCGGAAGGATCGAAGTAGCCGAATGCCGAGAACGAGCCGTCTGTATGGGCGTAGTTGAGGATTCTCTGGTACCCTGGAGGACAACGGATGTGGCGTGATGTTGCCCCGCAGATGGACGGCTTACCCAGTTTGAGGTTGCGCAGAATCTTCTGTTTGAGGCCCGCAGGGAGGCTGCCAGTGGCGTTGAGGTAGCGCAGCACGTACAGGTTTGGGGCCATGGATGCCATGATCTGCTCCCCACATCCTGTAGGGATTGTCAGGAGCTGGTGGAGATTCTAGATAAAATCCTCTGGGAGTTATCAAGAATATCAGGGTCAGGGGGGTAATGACTCCCCCCCATTCAATTCTCTATCCAACGATGCCAAAACGACTTCTCTGGCTCGAATGGTTCTTGAGAAACTTTGAAAAAAGCAGCGGTGTGTTCAAGTGGGTTTTGCGACTCAAAAAAAACCGCGCAAATCTAAAACTTCTTGAATTCAAGCATTTTTTGAGAAAACTGCCAACATTTCCCCATCCTTGGTTCACTTTCTGAAAAGGCCATTTATTTCTCTCTAGAATGATGTACAAATGAGCGTTCTTGCCCATTTTGCCTCCGAGATATGAACAAAAAGGGGACGGAAAACATGAAATTTTGGCATAATCTTGCTATTAAGTGTCTGATATTCAAATTTCGCTTTCTGGGCCAAAACTACTCGAATTTCCTCACTCACGTTGTTACGGCTGAATCGAAACTAGACTGTCGCCTTTGGAAATCTCCCTTAGGAGTCTTGAGTAGTTTTGTTTGTAGAATAGAGCATGCTAAGATAAGGTATTTTAACTTGAAATCTCATTTCGCCGCTATTAGGAGTTGCATGCTATGCAGCAGTTAGGCAGAGGGCAGGACAAGATTCTTAATTATCCAAAACAATGCGTCCTTAAAGGACGCTGTTGGAACAAGTTTTCTTAGTGGTGAAATTCACTTTTTCATAAAATTTCAAACCACTTCACTTCGCTAATACTTCAATGGTTCCTAGACACGTTTTTTAATCACCTTGATCAGGCAAGAAACGTTAATTACAAAAAACATACCGTACTTTTGATTAGCTGGAAAAAAGTTTGCTACTTTGGACCTGATGTTCTCAAAAATCACCAACAGTTGCAACCGATTACTTTCACTTTGCCCCTGTATAAATAAGTTGTATTTGATTTGATCCGGCTCGAATTGCTGGCTTACATACACTTTGCTAAAGTATTTTGTATAAATAAACATATACCGCTTATTGTCTGTTGGTTAAGATGTGTTTTGTATATTTGTATCTAGTTCGTAATTCGCTTTTAGACACGCC